TTTATTCATAAATGTTGGTCTTGCCCCAGGCTCCCTACTTACCTTGGTGATTGTGGGGAGAAAACTGGTGGCACCTCAGTCCGTTCTCCACCAAACATTGCAAATCACTCTTTTGGGTCCAATCTCTCTGTGCTGCCGACTTAGCCAAGGTGGGCCTTGTACTGTGTCCCAAGCTCTGCCTTGCTTCCAGATCTTAGTCCACACGTTTTAATGTAAATTAAAAAACACGAAAAATGTAATCCTGAAGACCAGGCCACTTACTAGCTAGGGATTGAGTAGGGAGAGTAGGGGAGCAGTTTCTCCTGGCACTGCCTGGACCTGGGCGCCCAGCCCAATGAAAGTGCCACAACTAGAGATATGGTTTCCCTCGGAAAGTCCTATGGTTAGAGAAGGGATGATAGGATCCCTCTCCATCCCGGGCCAAGGTTTTTCTCTTCTCCAGGGACAATTCTATGAGCAGTTTCAGCCTTTCTTTCTCTTCCCCTCATCTCACTGACGCTTTCTGCAGAGGGAGCTCCCTCCCATCCGTACCTCCAGGTCCGGGCCCACTTTTAACCTCCCCAGTTCGCAATCACACACCTATGAGGCTGTCTTCTTAGTGGACTCTGTTTCTTTACCTCCCAGACTCTTGCAGTTCAGTGTTCTATGGCTTCAGACCATCTTTGTTTGAGAGATGCGGCAAGTGAAAAGTATGGAGCTCCCTACTTCTCTGCCATCTTGCTCTCACACAAGTTTCTTAGACAGCTTTAAACTTTGCAGGGGCCCCTGTGTGGCTCAGTCCCTTGAGCATCCGGCTTCGGCTCAGGTCATGATCTCATGGTCTGTGGGTTCGAGCTCCAATTCGGGCTCTGTGCTGACAGCCAGCTCAGAGCCTGGAGGCTGTTTTGGATTCTGTATCTCCATCTGTCTCTAACCGTACCCTGTTCTCTCTCTCTCGCTCTCTCTCAGAAATAAATAAATAAATCATTAAAAATTTTAAAAATAAAATAAATATTACAAATCATTTTCATGTTCATTATCTCATTTAGTCCTCAAATCAACTCCATAAGATAAGTATTATTTTCCCATTAGAAATGACCACATCCTAAATCCTTAGTCATTTCTAAAGAAAAGTTGAATATGAATGTTGAGGTTGTTTTTATTTTATGGGGATGTTGGATGCTAAAATCAACAGGTGTTTTCAGTTCAAGGCAGCAGACTAGAAAAATACACTTACTTTCTGTTCCTCCTGAAACCATTTTTAATACAAGTGTAGAAATACCAAAATTAATACCAAAGCCAAGAGAATGTGGAAGTCATCAACCACAGAAAGATTTTGATACATTTAAAGAGGGCAAAAAGTGAAATGCAAGACTGATGAATAGAATGATCAAGAAAACACTGTCCAAAGAAGGGGCTGCACAAGGCCAGTCTGTTGCTGCTGAGCCCTGCTTATAGTCAAGAGAAGAGAGAATACGGGTTGAAAACAAGGAGACAAAAGATATTTTAGGGGGAATAAGTTCATTTAATGAGTTCCATGGGTCACTCCATCTTCCTTCCATAGAAACTCTGTAGGAATTACAACAGATTAATGGTGAGCAAGACAAGGGAACGGAGGGAATGTTGAACCACAGGGTGTCAGCTCTGGTTCACTGTCACTCTTACCAACTCCATCCAAGATTACACACCCATGGCTTCATGTACTATAACTGGAGATTTTTGCATCATAAATTGTCAAATTTAAGAAGGAATCTTCCTGGCAACCATAATTTGCGGTTATTATCAAAGTATTTTTACTAATGATTAAATTAATCATTTAAAAATATTTTGTCTTAACAAATTTTGTCTCAATATGTTTGCTTCTGCCAAGGCAAATTATCTTGGAGTAACCACTTGCCATCTAATATATTTTGCTTATAAGGACAAGTAAGAGAATGGTGTATATTTCAAAAAAAGAATCCTATCTGTCTACCCTCATTTGACAGGGGAAGTCAAGAGGGAGATTTTTCTGGGATATCCTTCCCCAAATTTCCTTGTATTGTCCTGAAGCCCCAACACACATCATATGTTTAATTTTTCCTCCCTGGGAAATGTAACGATGGAAATAACATGATTGTCATTCATTGTTTTCAAATATATCTGTCATTATCTCTTTCAGAGTTCTAATAAATCTTTGCCCAAAATCTGTACAAGCTTGCTATTTCTTTTCAAATACCTCCAAGAAACTGTTCCTTACTGAACTAAAATGATATCAAAGGACTTTTGGTTAAATGTCTTAGTTGGAAATCATTTCTGCTCGTAAAGAGATTAGAAAGAGCTTATAATATTTCTACCCCCCTTTTTTTTTTCAAGGAGAATTGAAAAATTCTGAACAAAACCTTTTGTGACCTACCACCCCCAAGTTTGCTGGAGATGTAAGTCCAAATTTGCTCTAACATACTATAAAAGCTCCCATAACCAGAGCAGTAAGCAGAGCAAAAAAATTCATAATTTTGTAATATACAAATTATGCCCAGTGCTATTTTAAATAGAAAAAATAAAGACAGTAAAGCTTTAGTTCACAAGCATAATTTGTTCTGGAAACATGCTTCTAATCCAAAGCACTTGTCTATCAAAGCCAATTTCCCCATAATAAATAAACGAAACTCAGATGATTTGTTCCACAACCCAAAAATATTCATATAAAAATCATTACAATACTGCACTGTAATACAAAATAATAAAGAAAATACAAAATATAAAGAAAAATATACAAATTACCTGTACTTACCTTTGAAAACCTTTGTGGCTGGTGTGAAGGAGACCAGAGAAAAGGGTTATTGAGTAGGATAAGTTTCATTATTGCTAACAGCTGTTGACTACACTACAGTATTAATAAGCTCTTGTCATATGCTCTATCTAATGTAATTGGCAATAAGGCAGCAGAAAGGGACTATATCTGCAGGCAGCCTGACCTAGAATGAAGCAAAGCATTCCTAAGCTTACTCTTGTATGGAAAAGCAAAGGAATGCCCACAGGTACTTTGAAGTGACAAAAAAGACACCAGTACCAGTTGTGAACACCTTCCAATGTTCTGAAAAATCACTGATTTCTTGATTTCTGCCAAACACCGTGGCCTGAGACAGAGCATCGGAGCATGGGAGACGATCACCCACAGTTCCACAGAGAAATAGAGAGACTCACAGAGAGAGAGGAAAACCATTGGCTTAACTGTCCTGTGACATTTGGCATCATGTACTCCTTGTATTACAAGACATCCCTTGTTTACCAAGTTAAAATTTATCGGAAATGTCCACTCATCTTGCAGAACACTTGCAGAACAAGTTGCTCACAATCCAAGGTTTTACTATTTTTACATATATATATATATATATATATCTTTTAATATATATATTTTTTGCTGATCTATAGGATTCTTGGTTCTGAAATCCATGCATGTCATGTCCCAGATATGCAACATCAGTCCTGTGAGGGAGAAAACACTTCAATGAAGTAAACCACAGAAAGGAGGTTCAAACTAGGAAAAGCCACACGTAGGCCAAGAATTTTCAAATCTTCTTCCTTATGGTGAAGCTTCCAGCTCCTAGATAATAATACATGTTTCTCTTGCCAGACACTCAAACATATCTCTCCCCTCTTGGTCATAAGAATCTCTAGAACTTTGTTTAAGTGCCAACAATGTGAGGTGAAAAATGAACATGGCTGGCATGCTCACAGCGACCAAATTGTGTTGACCTTTCTTTAATCCAATACATTGCTCCACTCTCAATGTACAGTAAATGACATACTTGCTTTCTGGACATTAGTGAGCTGCCTTACCAGACATATTCCTAGAAGGCCAGAGAAACTGGCTTCTAATCCCTATGGAATAATCTATAGGTGAATTTCCTCCAGGGAGACCACAACGTATCTAGAATATAATCTCTTCTATTTTTACATATAGTATTTACATAAATCTAATGTATTTGGATTCTTCCGAGTAACCAAAGAGAAAATCTGGGCTGCAAGGATCAGTTACAAACGTGGGATGGTACTATGCTTACCGCTGGTGGTCCATGACCTACATCTTCTGAGACCAGAACCCATTGTGGTCCCGATTATTTTATGAATTGAGCTTTTGTTCAACGAAGGCCTGGTCCTGGGCAGTGCCTCTCCTTACTGTAAATATGGCACCTGCTAAGTACCCTAAGAACTAGGAAAAAGAACAAGATGGTAACACGTGATGCATATATGGTAAGGAGGCACCACAGTTCAGAGTAAGAGCTCTGGGAGTCACTACCCTGGGCTTGAATCCCAGCTAAACCACCACCATCTGTGTGACCTGAGGGGCGGTCTAAACTGTAAATGCTGTATTGCCAAATTCCTCAAAAGGAAGAAAGCAAGAACCTGTGTGCCAGGAAAGGAGGTCGTGAGGCGCAGCATCCGGTCAGGTTAGGGTTTGGCAACCACTTGGAAACTGCCGCCGTCTGGAGGGCGATGCTGAAAGCCTGGGCAGCCCCAGCGAAGATGCAGCTGGCTCGAAGCCTCGCAGGGAAGCAGAGAGGGTCCGGGGGGCAGCGGGCCACTCCCTTGCAGCTTTGAGAGCCCCCCAGCACTCGTCTTTCTTGGGGGAAGGGCTGGAGACACACACCGAGGCGCTGAGGGGCCCGACAACCACGGCACTCACCTACAGTCCCCACGCTGTGGCCTTGCTGGTTGTCCACACACGCCAACGGGCGCACTGACCAAGGGCAGCAGGCAGCCTATACCCCGCCACCGACGACCGAAAGTCCCAGGCACTGGAGGCTAACCGGCGGGGCTCTGGGGCCTCCCCTTTGCCCTGTGCTGGGGCCTCCTGCCACGCTGCGAGTGCGCGCCCTTTTTTGTGACATGTCCTTCTTTGTGACGTGTCCCAGGGATGCATCACTAGGACCAGGCTGGACCTTTCAGGCTCAGTGCGTGTTTGACCTCGAGAGGAGTGGGAAGCTCCGGAGGGGCTCTAGACTCCAACCTCGCGACGTTGGGCGCACAGCCAGCTCACTATGGGCAATCTCCTTAGTAAATGTCTACGTCTCCCACTCCACCGCCACCGTCCCCTGCCTGGCCGGGATCGGGCCCTGGTCCGCCCCGCCCGTGATCCCCATCCACCACCTGGCAGGGGCCACCCCGCTGCTCCTTCACCTGCCCTGCACCCTGGGCGCAGGCTCTTCCACCAGGTACGCAGGCCTTTACCCGCCACCTTTCATATCGAGCCACGGAGGCGGTACCCCATCCCGCAGGCTGCATGGACCACTCCGGGCATTCTCCCCTTGGTTAACTGGAGTAACCCTCCGAAAAAACCTGTCCTATCGTCTCGTAATTCAGTGATGTTTGGGCACTCCAGAGCCATCAGAATCCCTCCTCCAGGGCGCAAATTAAAACTCCAGCGTTTGCCATCAGAGACTGCAGAGGGGGCTGCGGAGCCGGTCCCATCCAGGGGCCTCCCAATTTCGTGCTCCGAAGACAGTCGGAGGAAGGACACCCACCAGGATCTGATTCACTCCTCCCCTGACGGCCATGTAGTCACCACCTCGCATGGTCCTGTCAGAGATGTGCCTCACACAGATGCAGCCGTGCTCTCCCACCCAGCCCCATGCTGCCCCTCACTGCAGGAGACATCAGCCAAAGAATTGTCGGGTGGAAACCATCAGCCTGTCGGCAAGAAAGAGAAACAGACTAAGAAGCCTTCAGACCCGTCATCAAGAAGCTCCTTGCCCGCTGTAGCTGCCAGCAGCAGGGCCTGCAAATGGAAGAGACCCATGCCACCTTCTCTGCCGCTGCTACCACCACAGCCACTGTTGTGGGTTCGTGGGGAGTTGCCCCCACCTCCTAAGCTTCCTTGCATAGGTCTGGACAAAAACCTGAACACCATGAACAATACCACATGTCAGAGGAACAACATCATGGGGGTCAGAAGAGACATCAAAGCAGCCTGCTCGGACCCTCTGCCTGCCCCTGCATTCTCCATACTTGCAACAGAGATTGCTAACTGTCTCCCGTCCAGCATGAACACTGTGCAAGTCCCTATTGCTCCAGCAGGCTTGGCTGACCAACCTGCCAGGCTCCCAATCCCATCTGTTCCTCCATCTTTACCACCAGGTGTTGCAGTTTCCACTAGCTTGCCCCTTGGGGGTTCTGGTGTCACCTCCACTCCAGTAGGGAAGCCTCCTGCAAACTGCCACTCAGCTTCTGACGGTGAAGCCATGGACACTACATCTCCATCTCAGGCTTCCATCATCTGTTCCTCCCCTGTGTCCAGGGACACCCATGTGCCACCTTACATAGTGGTTCTGGGATCTGAGAAGACACCACCCGGTAGCAGGACTGTTGTGGCCCAGGTAACATTTGGACACCATGCTACTTCCACCTTAAATCCAGGCACTGGGGGCCCACCCATTTTGCCAGTTAGTGGAGCAGTGGGCCGAGACAGCAGCATACCCACAGGTGGAGACTCTACCGTCTCCATGACTGGTAAGTGTACTGGGGGCCTATCCAGGCAGAGAAAACATCCCCCATCTGAATGTGTTGCCATCTGGGAGAAGAGGTGCCAGTCAAGAGATCAGGCAGCCACCTCCTTTAATCCAAGCAGCAAGGGGCCAACCCCCAAAAACCCACGTGGTGGAGCAGTGGGAGATGGGCACACTCCTCCCAGAGATGGAGCTTCAGCTGTTCCTGGCAGCCATAAACCTACCTTGGACCCATCGTTACAAAGGAAACCTGATTCATATGAAAGAGCCACCACTCTGGACAAGTCAGGTGTGTCAGGATGCATGTCAGTCTCCTCCTCAAAGCTGAGCAAGGGGCCAACTGTCAACAACGCAGGGGGTGGAGCAGGAGGAGACGGCCACGGTCCCCCCAGAGACGGAGACACAACTGTTCCTGGGACCCGTAAATGCTCCCAGGACTCATCTACACAAGATCCAATCGCTCCATGCGGAAGAGCCACACGCGTGTCAAGAGACGTGTGCGTTCACCCCCCACAGATCCCCTGCAGCTTGCCGGGCCACACTGCCTCTGTCGCAGTGGCAAGTGGCAGCACTGTGTCTGTGCCTGGAGCCACATGTAGTTCCACGGTCCCTCCCAGTAAAGGCGGTCCACCTGCCCAGCAGTCAGTCAGTAAACACGGAGGGGACAAGGTCGTTCTCACAATGGGAGGACGTGGTACTCGTGCTTCCCGGAAGAATAACTGTAGAGAACCCAAGGCAGATCCAGCAAGAGCTGTCGCACATGTAGACACTATCACATCTATGATGGCAGGCCTCTCTGTCAGCACCCCCCCTAAGAACACTGGGAGCTCACTTACCCCTAACACAGGTGGTGCTCCGGGGAAGAACCCCACGCCTGCTATGACCGGATACACTTGCGGTCCCTCATCCGCACACAGCGCATGTGCCCTCCCTAAGCACAGTGCAGGTCGTGCGATGGGGGACACCACCATGAAATTTTAAACAGCACTTGGGCTCGCTCTAGTCAGGTGCTCCTCTGGAGGAGCAAGCAGTATGTGTATCCTGGTCACCTGTGCCTGTGCTCTGGGCATGACTAGAACACCTTCATAACCTGCCTAGGGCTTCATCAGAGCCACCAAACAATTCCTTCCTCTCATCATGAAACTCAACAAATAATGACCAAATATTCCTCTGCAAATTGCATATAACTGGAAATGGACTTTGTTGCACCAGAAAGGGGCCCAACCCCATTAAGTGAAACTTAACCTGATCTCTTCATACAGCAAGTGTGTACCTTGTGTGCACATGTGTATTTTTGTGTTGTTCTGTGCATGTGTGTGTTTTGGAGGGCAAGGGGCACATGAGCCCCAGTGTAGAGCTACTCCAGAACAACACCAGATTCAAGAAGTTCCAATGGTGAAAAATAGAAGAGAGTTACATAAATCATCAACTGTGCCATCCCTGGCGTGACCGTGAACCTGGTTGACCCAAGCTCCTGTCTAATTTTCTCTGGTCTTGGAATCGGCAGGACACCCCTGCTGTCTGTAGTGGTTTCCCCAACCGATTTGCCTCAGTGGGCTTTTCTCCTTCCCGCATTGTGTACTTATACACTTATGTGTATAAAAACTTTGTTCTTATTAATCTGCCTTCACTAGTGTTTCTTTTTGACTCAGCAGTAGAGAAAGAATTAACCTGTGTGAATGGTGATGGGTTGAGCCAGACTTAGGGATGCAGAATTTCCCATGTCACAGTGACTGGGATGTTGAAGTGGCTACATGTTCTACCTGCATGTGCTGACGTCTGCAGTCTGCATTTTGAATGTAAGGGATGACAGTCCAGGAGGAAGGAAGGTACAAAGGAGGGGGAGATGAGGGGACTTACCCTTGCCTCTTCCTTCTGTGTTTTGCTCTTCTCTCACCCCGCTCTGACCATACTAGAGGCCACATAACCCCTGATGTGTCAAAGGAAACCACTCAATGATTTTGTGTTTTTTTAAAGAAATGTTTAAAATTTCTTGTATGTCTTCATATTTGATTTAGACTTAGGCAAGTCATTCTTACACATTCCATCATCACCCAGGGAGGATAGAGTTGAGGCTGGAGGAGCGAAGGGAGAAAGAGCACATACCTGCTCTGTAATTGCTGGAAGTTTAAGTTTCTTTGAATTTATTGTGCTGCTTAAATGCAGAGGAAGAGATCCTTTTCAGTAACTGGCTCGGCTCTGATATAAATCACTAAAGTATCAAATCACACAAGTTAGAATTGTGCCCACTTCTGGTTGTCCCTAGACTTTTTTGCTGGATCTCCACTGGACTTAAAAAAGGCAAAATTCTTGACTGTGTGGAGCCTACATTCTAGGCGCAGGGGAGCAGAGATACAAACATGCAAATTATCTAATAGGTTAGCCAGTGACTAATGTTATGGAGAATAAAGCAGCATATGGAGCATAGACATTATAGGCAGAACCACAGCATTCAATTTAAATGGTGGACAGGATAAGCCTCACTAGGAAGGTGGGATCTGAACAGACTAGAGGGAGGTGAATGAAACAAATGTCTGAGGGAAGAGCATTCCAGGTAACGGGAATAACCACTGCAAAAGCTCAGAGGAAAGGTACCCGATATCCTCAGGGAGCAATCATAAACTAATATGCCTGAAATAGAGTCAACAAAGGGAAGTAAGCGAGGAGGACAGAGAAGATAGGGGTGGAATTTCCTGGACCATTTCTTGGTTGCACAATGACAAACAGTAGAGCCATCTTTCAAGTGTCTCGGTGAACTCAATGCTTTTTCCATGGACTATATACCTTGCAAGATTGTGGAAAGGCTAAAATAAAATAAGGTAAGGAATTAATTTAAAGCATTGTTGTTGTTTTGTTCTATAAATTAGGATAGAAACATAGTAGATACATACATACATACATACATACTTACATACATGGATGGAGATAGGAGATCTATATATCTACACTTAATGAGTTCCTCAGGCAATAATGCTTTAGTTGCCTTCACCAGGCAATTCAAATAGGAGATCCCATTTTAAAAGGAGCATAAAAGTGCCTACTTTTATGAAGTAAACACGTGGAAAACTATGGTAACTGAGCCTAAAAATGCATGCCATTGCTTCTGTTCTGTGACTGCAGAGAACCACCTGCCCTTTGTAGTCAGAACTGCCTCTCAGAAGCAGGGTTGAAACTCATTTTGCCTCTAATAGTCCTGCACCCTCTCTCTGCCATGCCTGGTATATTACCAGAGAAAACTCTTAAACATGGTCCTGGAGATGGACTGCTTGAATTAGAACCTAGTTCTTCGACTTTTATTAGCTCTGTGCCCTTGTGAAACGTCCACATTCTGCCTGTGCCCATTGTTTTCTCATCGATAAACCAGGGGGAAATAAGTTCTCTCCACCTTCTAGGGTTGCTTGTGATAATGAAACTATTAATGCCTTTGTAGCCTTTAGTGTCTAACACACAGGAGAACTCCAGAAACATTGACTATTATTATTTATATCTTGTGTTATTAACTATCACCTTAATCTCATGATTCTCTCAGTGCATGAGGATGTGCTCTGGAGCCCCTCTGCCTTTCCTTTCCCCTCATACAAATCACCTTCTGGGAATACGTGCTTGCTTTTATTTATGCTGTTAGTATTTACATTTTGCTATTGAGTGTTCTGTGTTTTATCCACACGTTGGCTCTAAGGGTTGAAAACCAATCAACTCTATAGATAAAGTATCACTTAGTCTTGGAGAAAATAGTGTGATCGGATTGTATTTCCTACTCTGCCAGTATAGTGCTCCTTCTTGTCTTTAACATCTGTTGTTCCAAATTATGCTACATTTTAGTTTGGTTTATGCTTCTCATATATTTTAAATTACTTTTCCGAAGGTTTGAATGATTTCTCTCTTTTAATCCTTGCACTATTTGCACATTAAAATATTTTATTTTCAAGCTCGATATTTTTTTATTTATGTGGCTCGGTCCCTTCCTTTTCTAGAATGTTTCCCCTCCTCAGTTTGGAAGCTATGACAATGAAAGATATGATCGAAGAAGAAAGGGGGCTAGAGGGTTTC